ACACACACCACACACACACACACACACACATACACACCCCCCTCCCACACACACACACACACAATCCACCCCACCTCCCACCCTCCAGGAGGAGAGCGGACAGACGGCAAAACCACGGGCAGCTGTGAGGTCTACGACCCAGCCACGGACACATGGACAAAATCTGGGATGCTTCTAGCACCACGAGCAAACTCGGCGTGTGCCGGCTTTGGCAGGGATCTCCTTTGTGCTGGCGGGTTTTTTGGCGGCACGGCTCACGATAATCTCTGGTGAGCTGGCCATGACTTGCAGTACATTATTAACCCCATATTTGTGGCGAGAACTGACACTGTCTTCGGTAATTTCGATAGATCAGAGAGCAGGCCTTCTCCTCGTTAACCGTAACAGAGGATGAAAAAAAAAGGGAAAAAAAAAGTAAAGAGCAGGATTGGCACCAAACGGGTTAACTGACTCACAAGCTGTAAAGTTGGGCTGTAGATTACAGCATGCCAGTTTGAAACGGCTTCATTTCGCCAAGAACAAAGCAGGATAAGAGTGTCTGTGAAAAAATGTAAGAGTAGACCACTTAAGTGTAAACACTCCCCTCCACCCCCCCCCCCTTGAACCGTGAAATATATCTCATTTATTAATGTAGGTTTTTTTTTTTATAACACCCCTATCTACTCAATTTAAATCGTTTAGGAGGTGGGCTTCCGACCCTGCCTGTCAGGGCAAGCCCAAGCTGTTAGAGCTATAACATTCCATTAAAAAGACTGAGACATTCGATAATACTTTTCTCCTCACTCGAGAATCGAACTCAAATCTCCTGTGTGTGACAGCAAAGTGCCTAACCGCTACCCAAGTAATAAAAATGATCAGAGATCGCTGATATCTCAGCTGGCCGCTTTTTAAAACCAGTTCACATCACGCACGGCATTGACAGGTAATGACTGCAAAGGCTTACAGTGCGGTCAAAAATTCGTGACGCAACTTATCCTGAAATATCTTTTTAACTGGTGAATCAATGTCACCCACACTTTGCACAGCAGTTTGTATTAATTTGTCTTAACGTAATCATATTTTTCCACCACAGTTAAGGCTAGATTAAAAAACTTTTCTTCATAAATTTATATAAAATACTACACATCTTCTTCACGCAGAAAATGGAATTGTCCACAGCACTTCCCGCTTCTCACACATATTTGGTACAGGTATATGGGTTACGTCACAACTCACCAATGAGTCAATGACACTTTTAGTGGCAAAACTCGTTACAAGAAATACATTTTAGAGTGAAGACTTTTTTGCACTAGGGGTTCTCAAAACGTGCGTTCAATAAAGATAAACTCGCGATTAGAAAACAAATGATAGACTTGCTTTTAAAAGCGATATCGTCCCAGTTGTAAACCTTTTAAAATCAGTAGAAATCACTCACTAGGATTTTCTATTCGTATTTATTATGGAATTTTCTGGAATGGAGCTAAAAAGCCTTTACAAAAATATTGATCTGTTAAGACACATCGATACAAGTCACTGTGGAAAAACTGGAGAGTTCATGTTCTATAGTTGAGAAGATATTTGACAATTAGTTGCGCCTCGAATTTTTGACTGTACTACAAGTCTGGTACTCGAAAACGAACGCGTTGAGAGTATACATGATCGGTCCGGGTTCGGAAATCGGAGTTTTCAGTAGAGGTTTTACGGCGCTCGCAACTCCACAAGGTCATATGAGCGCCAGACGATTAGAGAGTGACAAACATAAAAAAGAAGACGGGGAGATAGGGACGATAGATGTTTGATAGGAAAGAAGAAGCAAACCACACAAGAGCACCCGCCAACCACAAACGGAAATCTGAGAGAACGGACATGCATATCAAAATCTAAATCGATCTCACCATACTTTGAGTTTTTCATTATATCATGTTCCCCTAATACATTTTTTCTGGTAACTTTGGCACACTTTTGAGTTCTTTATTATATTATGGTCCCCTAATAAATGGTTTCTGGTAATTTAGGCTACTATTTGATTTTTTTCCCCCTTTATGCACAGGATTTTCGAGCAGCACCAGTGGCAAGAAATGGATGAATATTACCCGCACACGTTGCCATACTGCTTGGATAAATGCGCTGTAGCTTCTGTGGGAAACACGATCTTCTTTATTGGAGGTAATTAATTGTCTTGTTGCTTAAAAGAAAAGAAAATCAAACTTTTATGATATGATTGCCGCCCCTTTAATTAAGCACTATAAGAATAAATCTCAGGAAAGAGGGACATCTGCATTTTAAGTCCTTCTCCGGTAGGACGAAGCCAAGTGGATGAAGAAGTTAAAAAACTTTCCAGACAACACAAAATTCTAACAATGGTTCTCAACTCTGTATGCCAACATGGTACTAACGTAGCTATCGGAGTGTATTTTAATCAGCTACACCTGTTTCACTACTGCCAAATCAACTCTTACTTTTTATCGTTTTTACTTCATTCAGTACTTACTTCTTTTTCCTCTTTTACTACACTACACTAAATTAAACCAACACTTACTTTTTTTTAAAAACTACAGTTGTATCAGTAGGTACATTTCATTTGTCATTTCGCCTTAATTAAGGCATTCCATTGAGCACGTACTCTCCCCCCCACCCCCCACTCACACACACAATCACACTCTAGTTGTTCCACCGCTGTTCCTCTACCCCCCCACCCCAAAAAAAAATAATTCAAAATTTTTTTTTTTTAATTTCGCTTTTCGCTCAGGCATTTCCGCACTGTTACCAAAAGAGAAAAAAAGCCGCAAACAAGACACCAACGAGAACGGCAGGGGACGACTCGGCAACGCCCCTCCCAACAACCAGCGACTCCACCCTCACCAGGCAGCTTCGCAAAACCCAAAAGACGCAAACAACACGCCACAGAAAAAGACGCCAGAGAAACCCACGGTGCGACCCAAGTTTCAGACAGAGCGCCGAATGTTTTCCTATACCACCAGCATTTCCGCCGGAACCGGAAGTCACCACCAAGGACCGCAACTCGATCTCATTTCGCCGTGGAACATCAAGTTACCGGCCATGATCCACTCGCGACATAGCGCTGGGGCGGTGAGGATAGGTCAGTGCTTGCAAAGCCCTTCGTCAAGCCTTGAAGAGGCGAATTTTGGTTATTCGAAAGCTTGAAGAAGCTTTACCATAGATCTACATATTTTCCCTTTCTGCTTTCTTTTTCTGAAATGTAAAAAAGGCAGACAGCAACATGTATAGATCTACTCTGAACTGTTCAATTTTGTGTGTCTGGTTTGTGTAGTGTATCATGTAGGTTCGAAATGTGCCACAACAATGCCTTTGATCTATTTCTGGGCGGACAAATGTGCCCGATACGTCCTTAAAGAGTTAAATAATTGTGATGTAGGTTACTGAATTTCATTTTCGTGAAACATTTCATGCAACCCTGGCCCCCCTCCCCTCCCCCCTCCTTCCAACCTGTCCACCAGATATTGACCGTCAATTACACCCTACACGCTACCCGTTCCCCCAGGCAAAAAGATAGGATACCCTTTTTTATGATGCACTTCCATCCACCACACTCACCCTCTCTCATTCTCTGTCTGTCTGTCTGTCTGTCTGTCTGTCTGTCTGTCTGTCTGTCGGTCGGTCTGTCTGTTTGTCTGTATGTCTGTATGTATGTCTCTCTCTCTTTCTCTCTCTCTCTTTCTCTCTCTCTCTCTCTCTCTCTCTCTCTCTATCCCTCTCTCTCTCTATCCCTCTCTCTCTCTATCCCTCTCTCCACCAGATATACGCGTAAACCCTCTATTCTTCTCCCCATACACGCTACCCTTTCCACGTAAGCAACAAGTTAGGATATTGAAATCCATTTTTGTACAATCCCCCCTACCCCCTCCCATCCCCCATTCTCCACCAAATATACACCGCTTATTATCCCCTATAAACTACCCCCCCCCCCTCCCAAGGCAACAAGACAGGATATCAGGATACTGAAATCCATTTTCATGTCACACCTCCCTTCACACCCACCCCACCCCCACCCGAAATCTATCTATCTCTGTACCCCAAATATAAACCCTCTATTCTTTCCTACACGCCACCCCCCCAAAAAAAACACAAAAAAACAACAAAACAAAACAAAACAAAACAAAACAAAAAACAAAAAACAACAACAACAAAAAACAAAAAACACATGCACAACCAACAACAACAACAAAACAATAACAAAACATCAACGAAAAGCAAACAAACAAGCACACGAAAAAAAACCCACACAAAAAACCCACTTCTCTCTCTCTCTCCACTATTTGCGTCAATTATTTTTCCTAAACGCACCCCCTCCCTCCCCAGGCAACAAGATTCACGTAGTTGGCGGCACCTGTGTGGAGACTGGTCAAGCGGTCAGCGTGTCCGAGCACTTCGACCTGTCCAGGGGGTTGTGGGAAGAGGACTTTACGCTACGTAAATGTGAGTGGGGATGTCAGTTTTCCTTTTTGATTTTGTCAATTTGTGGGGGCATCGTG